CTATGGGACTTCTAACAGTGGAGCCAGTGTTTATCCCTAGTGCATAAATGGCCTTTGGGAGCCCATTTCCTATGGAGGGATACTATTGCAGCCCAGTTACAAGAAAGAGGGCCTAGGTGCTCCCCCAAATGATGTGATGGACCTTGATGGTCCCCCATGGAGGGCCTCACTATCCTTGGGGAGTGGATGGGGGGTGGGTTGGGGGAGGTTGGTGGGGAGCACGGGAGAATGGGAGGGTGAGGGAATGGGGGGATTGATATATAAGTAAGAGTGCTTCTAAAATAAAATAAAATAAAACATAACCTTAGGTTACCAGGAATACACCAAAATAAAATAAAATAAAAAAGAAATAGTAACAATGTTGTCTCAAATATGATCTTGAAGGCCTTGGCATCCCAGTCTGCACTGCCTTGGGATTCAGGATAATCTCAGGGGAGTTTCCTGTGTTCCTCTTAATGTTAATGTTCTCCCTATTCCCACAAGGCCGTCTGTGCAGCAGCCAGTGTGAGCAGTGGCCACAGAGAGGCTCTGTCTGAGGTGGCCAAGAGCAGGCAAGGGTGGCTGCTTCCTGCAGGTAAGGCTTCAGGGACTGGATACAACATTCCCCAATGGTGTCCAGGCCTGGGACCCAAAGGTGCAGCCGATCAGTGACCCACCAGTCGCCTGCCTAAACACATCCAGGTTGAATTGGCTCATCATTGTCAGGCTTTGGTATTTGCCAGCCTTTCTCTGAGTGTCACCTCAGACATGCTCCATTAGCATGGCTGTCCCCTTGAGAATCTGGCAAAATAGCTGAAGCCCCTTTAGGGGACAGACTATGTCCTCTAGGAGTGAGATAATTCACCAGTGCCATTTGGGCCATGAAGTTGGTGAGAAGACAGCACTGAATTAATATAACTCCAGAAGGGTCTGGGCCAGGCAGAAAATGCAGAGAATGGCATAGATTAAGAGGGAGGGAAGATGGTGCAATCAGTGGCTACAATGTTGGATCACATGAAAAAGCTGGGCATGATGACGTGTGCTTGTAACTCCAGCACTGGGGAGACAGAGACAAGTGGATCCCTGAGGCTCACTGACCAGGTGGCATAACCTACTTAGCAAGTTCCAGGCAAGGGAGTGGGAGACCTTGTCTTAAAATATAAAACAAACAAACAAGCAAAAAGGACAAGACCTAAGGTGGATAGCACTTAAGATTGACAGCCTATGTTGTCTCTGCCTCCACATGTACAGGCACACACATTTATGTGCCCCCACATGTATGTGCACCTGCACACAGTGAGCATGCACATACACACAGAAAAGGGGAATTAGTTGGGGCTGGGGAGGAGGCAGTGGCTTCCTCTGTGTGCTGGGTGGGCCTTTTCTTCCTCAGCTCTACACTTGCTGACTCAGCAGAGAGGGCAGAGCACACGGCAGAGCAGAGAGGGCTTGGAGCCCTACATCGCTATTTACAGGGCAGGACATGATGTCTGAAGCCCCTGAAGTACATGGCTCCCACACCAAGGGAGCTCACTTTTTGTAGAAGAAAACATCAATGTGGGTTTGCTGCAGGTCTGTAATCTCAATTACCTTAGGAAGCTGAGGCGGTAGGATCAGAACTTCTAGGCTACAGATAGGTTCAAGGATAACCCAGGCAACTTAGTGAGACCCTGTCTCAATTTTAAAAAAAGAGGAAAGAAACAAAAAGAAACAAAAAGAAAAGGAAAGGAAAGAAAAGAAAAGAAGAGAAAAGAAAAGAAAAGAAAAGAAGACAAAAGAAAAGAAAAGAGGAGGGGTTGGTTATGTAACTCTGTGGTAGAGTACTTGTTTAGTTTATAAGGAGATCCTGGGTTTTTTCCCTAATGCAGTAAAATAAGAACAGCAAAAACAGTACAGAACATCAAAACCATTAACACTAAGAAATGTCAATGACTTTTGCAGTAAGACCCTGAGGCCAAAAGGACTTGCGGCTTATAGTGATTGTTTTATTTGTATTGATTATTTATAGTGACTATTTTATTATTTTGATTTTGAGACAGGGTTTCATGTAGCTCAGGCTGGCTTCTAACTCACTAAGTAGCCAAGGATGGCCTTCAACTTCCTGCTTCCGCCTCCTGAGTGCTGCTCTTGCAAGTGTACACACACACACACACACACACACACACACACACACATTTATGTGGTGCTGGGACTCCAACCAGGGCTTCAGACATGCCATGCAAGCACTCTACTGGCTGAGTCACCCCAACCCCAGACCACAGTCTGGGATTCTAGTCAGTGGTGGGGGATGAGAAGGGTTCTGATCTTCAGGCCTCCATGCCACCCCACACCAGCTGAGGCCAGGGACAAGATGGGCCTTTTTTTACTCATGCCTGTGGCAACAGGGCCTTATGGAATGAGTGCCCGGTGAACGAACGAATGACTCAAATTCTGAGATCATTTACTCAACTGTTAATTTGGTTTGTTTTTCTGTAGAAAGTAATATGGGCACCAGCACGGCTCAGGTATAGAACGGTCAGTTGTGGATCCTAAACTGCTGTGTGTCTTCAGTCTAGTTACTCACCCTCTCAGAGCCTTAAGTTTTTCTCATCTGTAAAGATCAGTATAGCACAGCACTTGCTCTAAGGAATGAGTGGGGGAGGGGAGCCGATGAATCCACCATGGGTATGTACAGTTCTTCAGTATGCTTGGAACACAGTGAGCTCCTTTGGAAGAACTTGTGACTATTATTTTTTTTTTTTCACTTCTTAGTTCCAGCCAGGTCCTCACTCCCTTGCCTGAGTCTGGTGCTTCCTCTCTGAGCAAAGCCTGAGCCCACAGAGGTGGTACCAGGTGCCTGAGGTGGGCAGGGGTGGAGGCCTATGGTCCAGCAGTGGTGTGACCTCACTCCCATGAACTCTGTGTCCCTAGGTGAGCATGTCAGGGTGGAGCTGGAGTGAGGGTGGGTGAGATGAACTTTGTTAGCACTGGGCTGAACCCTGCTGGGTGACTGATGTCCTATATGGGCCCCAGGCTGATATGGAAAAAGAAAAGCGGAGACACATAGAGTCCTGAACTTGGGGCTAAGAGTAGAGAACTGAGCGGGAAAGGAGGCAACACAGTGGGCAACTCTTGTGTGCACTGCCACCTGCTCATGCCACCATTCTGACTCCTTTGGCTCAAAGACCTCCACTGTTCAAGAACCCACTGGGCAAAGTGGCGCCATATGGCTTTCTTAAATGAGTAAATAAGACCTCATTGCAGTTAAAGATGAGAGCTAAGGCAGCATCTCAGTTGGTAAAGTGCTTGTCTTGCAAGTGTGAAGATCTGTGTTTGAATCCTAGGACCCACGAATAAGCTGGGCATAGGCTGGGGAGATGGTTCACTGGGTAAAGTGCTTGCCACAAAGCACAAAGCATGAGGTCACATGC